TTACACCCTAATGCGTCATTAAAATACATGGCACTCCATCCAAACCCCATTATTAATAATCTCCATGCAACACAGCTGTTTATATAAAATAGATACAGCATGTAACTAATTTTTCCAGATTCTGTAGGTCTGTGATCATACTAATCTGTTTCACATGGACTCATCCCTTTATTTTTAGATGAGATGAGTTAAGCAAATGCCTGTGTTTAGAACACAGAAAAACCAACCAAGGCAGACAAATACTGGACGTATATGCATGTAACTGTAAAGCCTGAAAAAGGCTTGGAAAAATTCGGTAACTGAAGTGCTACTGAAATATCCTGTAACTCCTGCTTCACTTTTATGTCTCTATATATAGATACAGATTTATGTCCCATTAGTGAAATTCAGTCCTAAAGGGAACTGGCAACCAAAAGTATTACAGCAGTTTTTGACACTGAAATACAGCTTTCTCTTATACCTCTTTGTAATTTAGAAATGAGATTTAACTTGCATATAAGTTTTTCATAATAATGGAGTCTTTTCACCTACAGATAATTCTGACACTGTTAAAACTGAACTACACAACTCCAGCAGATAAAATGCTCCCATGTGCAACTGCCATCTTCAAAATTACAAGTGAAAACATATATGAAAAAACCCAAACCCCAAAGACTTACATCCCATTTAGCTCACCTGTTTTAGTCTATGTTTACCATATAAATTTAGATTATATCCACTAATAGGAATCCTTTGTCCAGTTTTCCATTTATCAAATATCCACTCCCCAAAAGAAAAAAAATTCAATTAAAAAAAAAAAAAGTCCTCCTTTATTTATCTGTTCTAGAAAAAAAAAGGGAAAAGAAAAAAAAATGCACCTTCTAGTACTTTAGGCATCTATGATATCATTAATTTGGGTCCACCAAACTCAAACTCCATGTCTGACATGCATCTTTCTTCTTTTGAGAGTGAAGGAAAAAGGCAAAGTTCTGTCAGCTCCAAGGGATTGAACACACGACAATGATGCAAGATATGTCTTTAAGTAGCAGCAACAAAGGAACCATCATTTTCCTTTGAAAGCAAAAGTAATTGTTTTTAGTATTATGCTATTTATTTATCTGAAGTACTGGCACCTGTACGAAAGGGATTCAAACAATTTAATAATTTTGATATGCCAAAATATTACAAATAATGGCAATAAGTCTTATATGGCTTACTGATGCACTCACAGTGGTGCTGTTGACTTACACTTTCCAGCTACAGCTCTTAATTTCATTCATCAAATTTAAACCAGGATGTCTTTGTACTGAACTGACAAGTCTACATAAGGTAATCTCTCTCAGATAAAGGCCTCCTTACTGTTGGTGGAAGTATGTTTGATAGATAAACTAATTAAAATTCAATTCTGAAAAGTTTTACCAAGGCTTTGTTTTTTCCTTTACTCAAGACACATATTCTTAATTCATATAATCATATGTGAAAGGCAAAAGCAGCTCTGTGCCAAAAACACAGTATAGCTGTGACACTCCAGGTGTTTTAACAGCAATCTGTACGTCAGTAGGAGTGCAATATCTCTGGCTCCTTCATATGTCTGGCTCTCCAAATCTGAGTATCAAACTGTCTGGCTCTCCAAATCTGATCAAACTAACGATCTCCCAGTAGCCAGAATAAATGAATTCAAAATCACACTGGATTTTTGTCTGGAATCATGCTTCCTGCTGGTATCAGCAGCTGTTGTAGTTTCACCCTGGCTGTCAGCAAAACACAACACCGCTTGCTCACCCTCCCCCCTCCCACGGACCAGGAGAGAAATAAAGGGGTGAAGGGAAAAGAGACCTGTGGGTTGAGACAAGAATAATTTAATAACTAAACTACAATAACAATGAAAATAATAACAATGATAATAGTAATATATACAAATATACAAATGAGTGACACAGTGCAACTGCTCACCACCTGATGACCATGTTCCCAGCTAACGATCCCAGAGCAGGGAGAGTCCCAAAACCGCACTCCTGGAATGGAAATAAGAGCCCGAGTGTCCAAGAGACTGAGATGACCCTCAGAGAGGGGTGACCCTGAGGGAGACAACCTGGAGCAAGAGAGAGAACTTCCGGACAGATCCTCATCTATATACTGGACATGACATGCATGATATGGAATAGACCATTGGCCAGTTTGGGTCTCAATCCTAAACCTAAGGTCAAATCCTAGGCTAGTAGTTGCGGCTGTGCTCCCTCCCAGCTTCTCCTGCACCTGCAGACACTGGCACAGCAGAGAAGCTGAAACATCCTTGACTGTCCTGGCAGCAACTATAAACATCAGCATGTTATCAGCCTTCTCAGCACAAATCCAAAACACAGCTTCTCACTAGCTGCTATGAAGAAAGTTAACTCTGTCTCAGCTGAAACCAAGACAGCAGCTTATGACAAAAGAGGACAAACCCTGAGACATGCCACAACAAGGAACAGTTAATGGTGGCTATTTCTATCTTTCTGTTAGGCCAGTGCTTCAGCCAGGGCTCTCACTTCTGTTTCAGCCTGCACAAGAGGGAATAAGGCAGCAGCAGCATAAAACAATTCCAGTAAACATTTCAATATAGGTAGAGGAGTATTCCCGAATGCGGGCACTGAGGAACCTACTAAAATTTTCTTGAAAAGGCATATTCATGCAAGCTCTGGCAAAAGGGGCAGACCAACAGCATAGCTGTAGCACTGGCACAAAAGGGCAATGTAAGGAGGTTGCTAAAACTTTACTGTCCACCCTTTTGTGCAGCACAATCCCAAATGACAAGACACTGCAGAGCTGCTCAGAGTTAACAACTCTGAGCCAGAGCTCAAGCAGCAGCTTCCAAGGACACTGTTCAGAGGGTACGAGAAAGACGTGTTTAAAGCTGTGGTAAGACGGAAAAGAGGTTTGGGGTTTATAAATAAAGACGCCTTCTGGAACAAAGAAAGAGTAAGATTTGTTTGAAGACAGGTTTTCCCTGCGGATGGGTTTGAAGACAATGTACATTTCAAGAGAAGAGGTTCTTGCACAAACCTTTGGGAGACAATGAGCAAACTGTAAACACCACTTCCTAGACTGTGTTCGCTAGGTGAGGTTTTTTTCTGGTAGGCACTGACTCACTGAAATACATACCTCATTATTCAGTCTCCTTTTACTAACATCTTTACCAGATACTTCATGAAGAAATAAAATCAGTGACAATTGCACTGTGATTTAACCACCCAGATGACATATAATTTCCTGAAAGTCAGTTTCTGGAGGATTAAAAAAAAAAAAGGAGAGAAAAAGAAAGAGGCTCCTGTGGTCTCTTTGGAGCCAGAAATCCTGAGTTCAGCTTTGGCAGCAACTCCCATCAGGGCTTTCCAGAGGCCTGCATAGGATTACGTTTCCAAAAGGACTTAAAAGGTTTAGGAGCATGTCTCATTGTTAAAAGTGATGTAGAGTAATGAGCTTAAGCATTGCTAAATGTACTGCTTCATGCCCTGTCTTGCCCAGTCCAGCAAGGTGTAGGGTTCTCCCACAGTTCCTGACAGATTTAGATGCAAGGGTTTGAAATACTGGAACCCCGTTTCTACAGCTTTCTGATGGAGGTGACTGGCCCTGCCCAGGCAAAGCAGACAGGGACACACTCCTTAGCCCAGCAGGTCAGCATAAACAGTTGACGGAGCGAGACTGTACAAACAGGCCGGGCTGTGAACTTGAGCAGCACCCCTTCTGCTGCTCATGGCAGAGGTTAAAGGAAACAGTACCTTCTGTGGGTGCAACCAGATTCACCAGAGGCCATCTGTCAAAGGTCACAAGTTCCTAAGTGCCTGACACATTTTTAAAAGTAGGTGTGGGTGTCCTTGACAGTGGCACGCAGCCTCCCTGTGCCCCATTCCCTTCTCTTGCTCTCGTCTGTGATTTCTTTCTTCCTCTAGTGTGGAAGTATTTTTAGGGGGGGAGGGAAGACAAGGCACACAGAATACTTACCAAAGGAATTAGAGTGTTTTATTCTATTTGCACTTTTTCAACAGAAAAAATATTTCTAAAAATATGGATGTACCATGGTATACTTGACCTAAATTCTTCAGCGCTGTTCCTACATTTTGAGAGAGACTGGAAATGACTCGTAAATGTGTAAAATTTTGATCACGAAACATGACAATTTAGAAGCCTATTCAAGACCTGTAGCGTTTACTTTCCGAAAATGAAGTTGACAGATTTTCTGATGCTTTTTCTGTTGACACTAAGTCACCACACCACAGGAATGGGAGCTTGAAAAGGGAAGAGACATTTCATGTCATATAAGAGTCTATGAACTTTTGCGTGGAAGGGTAGGTTAGGTAGCAGTGCAATTGTGGCCTAATAGTTATATTAGGTAGATGTTTCTGCTAAAATGTTTATCACTAAAGAAGTTTTCAACTTAAGCTTTATATTAAATCATAATTTAAAAAATGTAAATCAGTGGTTTGATGCCCTCTAGCTTTGCAGGTTATTCTCAGTAGCTAGATAAAACCAATAAAGTGGGTTTAAACAAATTCCAAACTCCTAAAAAATGCCCTGTATTCAATCATAAATCAAGTATCAAACTGTGATGACCATTCTGCTCTAAACTGTTTGCTTTTTTCAGGATAGTTGAAAAAGCTATATAAAACCTAAGCCAAGCCATTCAGCCTATGCATGTGGCCCACAAACAGACTTTATCACCAAGTTCCACCTGCTCAAGCTTTTTGCTGGATCAAGACCTCACTTTTTGGCCATCCAAAGCTCCATGTAAGTCAAGAGAAATATTGTCTGAATTAAGGGCTGAACAAGAAATGAAAATGGACCCTTACTTCTGGCCAGACATTAGTACCCTATAATTTCTTTGCCATTGCAATTCTAACACACTATGCTATCTGTTGTTTGAAGCTCATTTCACTACATGTTTCCTAGGAAACAAATTTAGAAGCACACATACATTAGTAAGAATGCAGGCTCAGGTAAGCTTGTTTTGGATGATGGAATAGGACTGCACCTCAATTTGCTTACATTCACCAAACCTGTTACTGAAACAGATCCAGAGCTCAGGTGAAAGAACGAAAAGTCTGTGCTGCATGTTCTTCATTTACAGCACACCTTTGCCTTTCTCGAGAAAGCCAGGGAACCTTATTACTTCTGAAAGTAGGTTTTCTTTTTTCTGAGCTTTAAGTGGATGGCAGTTATGACAAAACCTGTCAGGGTTGCTGCTGCACCAGAAACCACGTAGGCGATTCCCAGGAATGGGTTACTTCCCCCACACCACACCACAGTTGAAAGAATCACATGCTTCCTCCCCTTGAATTTGGTAACAGGGAAATCTGACAGAAGGATGTTAAGGTTTCGTTCACAAAATTTACACAATTTCCAGGAGAAGAAAAAGTAGTGGCAAATGCTCAAAATCCTTTCCAAGGCATAAAGGGTCTGGAGATCTGAATTTGCTAAAAAAATTCCTGATCTGTGATGTCTCTGCTATTCTGGGTCCAAAAAGCCAGTAGCAGTTGGTGGTAAGACATCCAGTTATTTTAGATACAGTCTCTGTGTGAACATGGAACTGCCTTTTTTTTTTTTTTTTAACATTATAAATTTCAGATTCATAATTTACATAACTGCTACTGCATTCATTTACTATGAAAACTCACTTGAAAATGAGCCTTTTGGGCAGCTTATCATGATGATACCCCACATATTCTCACTGAGGGGAAGTGCTCACCTCTATCTAACATGCTGTCTGCCTAGAAAATTATATGATTTTACTTTTCATCTCTCCATGTGGAAGCTTTCAGAACAGAACTGTGCTATAGCATTTAAAATCATAGGCCTATTGGCTGAGAGAGAAGAGAAATTTATAGTCATCTTGACATAACTCCTGCTGACAAAACAAGTGCTTTACTCAGCAAAGTTCACGCTGTTCAGCATGAGAGTGCATCTTCACCATCACAATAGTTCCTGTCAGCACAAGGCCCAAATCTGCCAGAGGACTCTGCTGACACAGGCATCCTGCACAGCTCTCAACGTCAGGGATACCTCTGGCACTCCTTGCACTCCAGTAAGGGTGTCTGCACATCTGATGAGGCCATTATTAAATATTTCAGCTAAAACAACATCTTCAACCATCTCTTCAGGTTCCCACTCTTCAGTTTTACTCTTTGTGCAAAGCACCCATGTGCTGCCTCCAGCCAAAAGTAGCCCCCTCAGAAGTCAAATCCAATGTCACATGCTGCCATTTGACCAACATGTCTTAACTCCATCTGCAGAGGCTAAAGAAAAATCACTTGTAGTGTCTCATCACCCTCAAAACAAACTAGGTCTTTTCATGGTGATTTAGTTTGGAGTGTTTCGCTCAGTTTCTCTGCTGTTTTTCTATACAAATCCCATCCACTTCCATATAGTTGCAACTATCTAATAGTTAAGGAGTGTCTCGGATAATATGAAAGGATACTATAGGAAATATGAAAAGTGTAATTCCCTGCTGGGAGGCCAGCTGCAAACTGCCTTATCCGGTGGACACGACGGTAAAGATTTCTGAATGTAGCAAAGGCCGACACTCGCATCCAGATAATGAAGTCATCATTTAAATAACCATTGTTCCTTTCATCTTCCTCGTCTAACAAGTATACTGGTTTCCACCAGTAAGGAGGTCTTGCTGTCCCTGGTGAAAAAGAAAGAAACCAGGAAGGACATACTGTTGCTGAAAACAATGGTTGGTGACTAACTTCTGGGCCTACTCACAACCAACAGAGAACACGAGATACGAAAGAGACACAAGACTCTGTCCAATATTTAAAAATTACGTAGGCTAGATAATGCTTTGCAACTAAGCATCTCCACGCACCTCAAACATGAATGAACAGCATTTAACAGTACCCAGGGGTCCGCGTGCCCTAGAAACCTCAAGTACAGGAAAAACGAAGGGACTTACACAAATTGAAATACTGTTTATTCTGGCTTCTCACCTCTTCAGCCAGCAACATAGTCTCTATAAGGAGGAGCTTGCCTTCATTTTATATATTAATTTACTCCTGTACAACCATGAAAGGCACCTTTTTGTGGTCTAATGGCACAGTCTGTGATACTTAGAATCTGCAATATGAAAACTACTTAGATAATTAACTCTTGCATATTGCATCCAGCACAGCACTTCCCAGATCCAGAATAGGGAACTTTTAGTCCCACTTCAATATAGATTAATGATAACAAGGAAACAGTCCTAGCAAACAGCTGTTTGAAAGAACTAGTGAAGATGGCAGTTTCACTTGGGTCACAATTGCCTAAGACTCTGCAAAGGCACAAAGAAGGAAAGATGTGACAATGCAATTCTCCTTCATACGTGTTTTCAGTAGAAAAAAAAATACTGTATCATTGCTTTCTCTGTACAGATTAAGTGTTACAATAAACTATACAGAAGAGTGTGGATGCAGGCTAACGTCAGTCCTCCAAACCCACCTTCTCCCAATTTCTATGGGTAGTGGAAAAAAGAAAGTGATATTTTTGGCTAAATCTGGCCTCTGTTCTCAGTCACCCTCTAAAACTGCTTCTCCTACCTCTTTCAGCAATTCCCATCTTAGAATGGGAGACCTCCACACATGGGGAGGGAGGGAAGCCACTGAAAAATAAGGGATATCAGTGGAACAATTCTTACCTGCAAATGCAGAAGATAGATTGTATGCTTTTGGATTGTGAAATTTCACATTTTTATCTGTCCACCAACTGTTTCCAGTCTTCAGCAGCGGTACTTGAATAACAGATGACTTAAGATTGTAAAAAAGATCAATGGTATCTGCAGGGATACAAGAAGCAATATGTATGAACAAGTTATTTAAATGGTGACTTAATTATCATCTCATTAACATTTAGGCAAACACCTAGGCAGCCAGATGATCGGCAGGGATAGTTAGATGATATGGATGGGGAGGAGCTGCTTTTTAGGAAACAGGAAAAACACAACTCAACTGCATCAATGAAAACATACTTTTTTTTTTTTTTTTTTTTCAATCCTGCTACTAAACCTGTGTTCACACAGCTCCTTAAGGCTCAGATACACTCTTCTGAGTCAGTGATCATTCTGTGCCCCACTACAATCCCCAGCTGTTTGTCACTGGTTTATTAACAGGAGCTGCAATTCTCTGAGCTCTGCCTGCTTAACCACTTGTCTGACTGCTCCCTTTCCTGCTGGCTTGGGTTAAAAACATTTCCCATGGCAGGAACTTGGCCATCTTCCTCATTTTACAAAACAAGATTAGAGAGTAATTAGACAACCAGCTAAACTGTCAGAAGTGAATGGCAAGCACTCTCCTTCACAGCAGAGGGACAGAAATGAGCTACTAGAGGGGTGATTTAAGCATCATCCCCTTCCCCCACATCACCAGCAGCTGGAACATTTCATCACACTGTGCACTGAGGACATATGTAAGAGCAGATACTGGGAGGTTTGCCTGCAGCATTTTAAAATCTTACTATCCTGTTCCCTGCAGGAGCATTCTGTCCTGTAGCCAGTGCTCCAGAACAGTGTGGGCTACAGGCAGGTAGCTGTGCTGGCCTAGGTCTGAGCCAGGTCCAGTAAATCAGACTTCCAGGATCTAGAAGTTACTGACCACAGCTGCCTTTCACAAGTCCTCTAGTGTGTGTGGCTCAGCTGCTTGAAAACATCTGCTGCATTGCCAAAAAAACCTGCTGTGTGGAATGGGAAGGTGGGGGAAGGCGTGTGTACAGACAAAAAGGATGGGATAGGGGAGAAAAGTCTGTAGAGGTTTTTTGTCTCTTTTCCTCCCAAAGAAATCCATTCTGAAATCTGCCAGTGTTCATGGCTAGGAGCCCTCTAGGTTTCAGCCTAAATGTACTCATAGGCAGATTATGCCCAATAGTTTAGTATAAACGAAATCAAACCTGGGATCAAATTGAGTAAGACTATGCATGCTTCCAGCATTCAACGAATAAAATGCAGCCACATAGATCCAAAGGTGCAAACCAATGTGAAGAACATGTCACCTCCTTCTAAGCACACCACTGTGGGAAGGCAGAACCTGTGCTCTCCCATGACTGTACAGGAATGCGTTTTTTTAGCAAGGAGGTACACTGAATCTGTTGTATCATCATTCCTTATTTCATCAGGGATTCAACTCCTCAGTCCTGTTGTATATTCACACTGAAGAGAGCCTTAGTAAATGAAAAATCTTCCTCAGTTTCAAAATGAGGGGCAAGCTACTAAACAGTAGGAAGCAGAGCCCCGTGTTCACCACAGTAGCACCACAAAACAAAACCTTTTGTGGGAGAAAGACAGAGATCTTGCAATATCAGAACTCAGTTGGATTGGGGTAATGGAATAGTTTCAAGTGGAAATTAGTAAGCAGGTGTGGAAGGTACCTACTTACCATTGAACATGCTGTTGGCAATAGCACCGCATGGAGCCATGGGTGTCCCATTTTGGTACGTGGTGAAGGGTGCGCAGTAGCTCTTCTCAATCTGCATTCAAGGTCACAGAACAATCAGGCACAGAACCTGGGGGTTTTGTTTTGATTTGCTGGTGTTAATGTTCTCTCATTCCTTCTTCTGAAAAGTGACTGAATAATTAAGTTGCCAGTACCTTTTGGTCACATTACAGATACATCCAAATGAATGGGTTTGTAGCTGAAGAGCACACTCCTTATCACAGTAAATAAACTTAAGGTCTTCACCAAATTCTGCTCTGGACTTGCAAACTCCACACTACAAAAACTCATTTGGTGATCGGCTATTGTAACATACCTCAATTTAAAATGTTCCAGTGAAGCCTTGGCTTACCCTAGAACATCTTATTTTCCCTTCTTTTTAATTCTGACCTGAACAGCTTCAGTGGTGGAGAACAAAAAGTGCAGTTAGCCACCTTACTGCAGTGCTGTGTGGGGAAATCTTGATCTATGAAGATGTAGCAAGAAAAACAAAAGCCCATCTCAAATTTATCACATCTCTCCTATTTCACTTCATGAGAAACTATTAAATCATCAGGATTAAACACAGAAACATTTTCAAATAACTCTAATAAGCTGTATGTCTGATTGGCAGAAAAGCCAAAACTAGTTGCACCTCAATGCGAACAAACAAGCTGAATGGAAACCTGGAGAAGCAGATGTATGGGGAACGTGTCTTGGGAGTTACAAGAAGCATTTTACAAAAACAACAGATTATTATGCTGCAATCATCATATGTACTGAGAGGGCAATGTGTGGACTGTGTGTATATTAAGAAATGATACTTTTAAGTCAAAAAATCCATGTTTTAGATTTGTTAACAAAAAACCTAAATGCAATGACTGCATTCTCCGATTTCCTTATGCAGGCCTGCTGTAGGCGATTCTATCTAGCCTCCTCTTTAGACCTCCAAACTTGTATACTTCAGAATGCTGCATGTTCACGTATTTCACCATAAACTATTTCCTGCTCCCTGTCCGCTTCCAAAGCCAGCAAAATTAAAGACTTAGAATAACTTAATTCCCTAACCCTATAATAAAAGCACAGCTTAGAACACTTCTGGCTAAGATGACTGAAAACACTCGAAGGAAAAGCCTTCTGTAAATTTATTTGAAAAATACAATGTATTTTTAATCAGCATCCCTACAAGGTGCAGGTTTCATAATTACTACATTGGACTGACATCTTTTATTTAGCCCCTCAATTTTTCTCTCTTATTAACTTATTAGACATAATGACCCTAACAATCATAAAAGCAGAGACTAAGCACTGAAAATCTGTACCTTCTTATTATTCCCTAGAGCCATCTTAACACACTTACAGTTATGCCTAGTTAGCTTTCCATATGGTCAAAGATGCACCTGATGGAAGTACTGACGATCGCATAATATAAAGAAGAAAACTTACATTTACATTTCGACCTAACAATTGTGCGTCACTTCTTGATATAACATATCGACGGTGGTTTTGATAGAAGTTTTGCAGGCCATAGTACATAAAAACATCACCCTAGAATTCAAGGATAAATCCCTTCAATAAGGTGACTTCGTGCAGACAAAGAGAAATCCTATTACTTGCTAAGAAAGAGAGGGGAAGAGAGTACTCAATTCATATTTAAATGCTGGTGACCACACTCTAAGCAATTACTTCAGCCGACACCGGCTAGAATCTAGTCTTTACCCCAACTGAAAGTTTCAGTATTTTGACAAAAAATTAAACATACTTTAAATCACAAAATGAAACCTAAAATAAAAACGCCTGATTATTATTTTGTTCAAGATGGCACAGCTGGCCATGAACCTGTAATCACTATGAATAATTTCATGGAGACAGACACTCATTTTCCATAAAAGAAGGTGCACAAAAAACTTCAAAGTACCCGGTAGCTCTTAATGCCTTCATAGTTTTTGAAAAATAAGGCTGCCTCTCATCAATTATTCAAATGCTTTGGAAAGTTTAGTCCTCTAATTAAAAGGAGAATGCAAGGCAGGCAAATACAAGAAAGAAAGAGGATTATTAAACTATTAAAAAAACCTCATTGTTCAGTTAAATAAACTTCTCAAGCACCACTGTAATCTCAAGAATTACAGAGTATTTCAACAGCCTCTTCAATACTGAATAACCTTAAAGTGACTTTATAATTTGAATTGCACTCTAGTTTTAAGGCACCATTTATACAGTACTAAGCATAAGTTCTGTTTGGCAGAACATGAAGCATTTTAACAGTCTCAGCAACATGACCCTGTAGTTTAGGACAGGAAATGAAGGATACTTTTCCCAAATGAAACTTCAGAATGACTTGAATTATTTCAAGGCCCTTGGGGATTAACAGCATAACCCTTGTAAAAAAGACTACAGGGTTTTACTTATAACAGGTGGTCAGAGCTTCAGATTTCCTTCTCATCTGAGAGTTTAGCAGTATGGTAACAACTAACCCCAGGCCAAGGGCAAGGGTTTGCTACTGACTCAAAGACAGAGATGCAGAGAGAAGTCACCTCCACAATCAAACACCATTTCCTCCATCCCCATCTTGTCCTTGCACACCTCCCAACCAAGGACAGATCTTGATCAGAATAGCAAAGGCAAAAGTGTAAAATTGTGAGTATCTCATGTTTTTAAAAAGTACAAAGAAAATTTATTCAGGAGCTCTACAGAACAGAATTAATGTACTGTATCATACAGGGATATAAGTAACAGGAGGTACTAGGCAACCTGAGTTGGTTTCTCGCATCCACTTACCAATATATCTTCCTTTAGGGTGAAATTAACAGAACAGTGGCACTCCTTATTCCAGTTAGAGGAATTTTCACGGAGTTTTGAACAATCTGAGCATTTATCTGAATAATCAATCTGTCAGAGAATTGAACAAGCAGAGATACCGTAATAAAGGACACGCACACAGGAAAAGGTTAGTGATTTAGCTTCAGGACTTCTCAGAGCAGTTCTCTTCTAAGTGACTCTGGACTGCAAAAATATTGTTAAAATTTGACAGAGACAGAAAATCAGGACTTGTCCTTAATGAACGTTCACAAATTTCATCCCTAGTTTAAAGGTGCTTTAGAGCCTTTCAATGACTATTGCAGAACCTCCACGTCTGCTCCTCAGCAAAGGAGTACTGAGTGAAGAACACTTCTGCAGCTTGGTCTGGCTGACCAAGTAATGCTTGACAAATCCCCACATGCATTATGGCCCACCCCTCTTGAGCAACCTGGATGTAGTGCTGAGCGTTGGCTCCAACCAGGAGTCTATTAACACCACCACAAGTCTAACAAACCTTGCCTCCAGGAGGCATTTAAACATTAGGGCTCCTGCATTTTAAGATTTTGCTCCAGCAAACATGCACGTTCTTCTAGTACCAAACACTATAAAAGGGATTAGTTTATTTCCCTTCAAAAACCCAGAAAATAATGCCAAGATTTCAGATGTTACCAGCCAGTGGCAGTAATTACCACACATATTTCAGATATTACACCCAGTTAACCACCTAGTGCTCGGCTTTTATCGGTGTCCAACTATCTCTGAGAACTTTCACAGGAATACTGGCTGCTGGACACATGTACAAGGCATGAAGCCATTGCTATCATCTTTACCCAAAAGCAAAAATTCAAAGCCTTTTCCCTCCAAACATAGCCCAGTTTCTTCTTCATAGAATATCTAGCACCATCATCCCCAAACAAACCTGGACTTCTCTGACCCTGTTTGCGGACAGTATGAGGCAGATTCCCACAGACAGGCAGAAAGCGCCTGTGAGGAAGAAGGTGGAGAGCACAGTGGCAATGGTAAGCTGAGGCTTCCAAGCTGGTAGCTTCTGTTGTTTGAATGCACTGTTATCTGGACATCTGGAAGGATGCTGCCCTTCTTTTTGGGGAAGAAAACTCATCTTGTTTTCTGTTTTCTTCTTGGTGAGCGGAAGGAACAATATACTTGTGCTGGAGAGTGTTTAAGCTGAGATAGTGTCCTTACTGTTGAGAGACTGTATTGTTTGTTCAAAGCTGCATTATGGCCACAAATTACTTATTAACTAGATCTCGCTCTTCCTCATTTTCTACATTTGTGCCTGGATCCCCATGATCAGCTTGTACCAATCAAACAATTGTGTACTTTGGTCAGGGTGTCCAGCTCATGACTCTTGGAAAAGCTTAAATATATGTTTTTACCTGCCCCACAATTCAGTAGGATTTGTTATGTCTTATTCATTTGCAGGGATACTGCCATCTAGATTGGAATTTCTGTGTAATATCAGATGCATTATTTCTTCTCCCTTTGCTACCACAGCTGCCCAGCTAACAGGCATGGTATACAATGAAAGGAGCTCTACTCCCAATTGCACTGGATGCCATTGGGGAGGACTGCAGGTGCTGAGACAGCACTGGACAGAAAACATTGCTTTGGAAGACCAGATCAATTTTCTTAACCTACTACATTCATTGTTATTGATCCAGATGTAATTTAAAGTTGTAAAAATCCTAGGTGTTCCTTATCCCAGAAGGGCAACTCATTCTCAAAACATCTGATTTCGATCAATGGCTTTCCAAGATGCTGATGGTTTGCTCACCTCTACTCATCTTGTCCTCTGAAAAAAATCCATCCATTCCCTGCTATCCACAATGACAAAAGAATCACCCAGAGATCATATCCTTTTAATTTAAATGGACAAACAGAAGAATATCTTTTGCACACTTTAACAGTTTAACCAAAATAAAGTCTCAATATAATATACAGATAAGTTACTATGTAATAGCAAAAAATATCATTTGGCCAGCTCTAGAACAGATAAGTGAAAAATACCTTTTTGAAAAATTACTAAAATTCATACAGCTTTTTCAAAGACCCTCGAGGGCAAGAACTAGATTACCACTCTCGTGAGAGAAGTGTCTCCTTTAGGACAGTGGGGGGGAGATAACAGAAAATTGATTTGTACAAAGACTTTCACACTCAAGTTTCCTCGTCTTCAAAATGTTAAAAGTGACATATAGTAGGGAATCTAGCAGGTGAATGCAATGTAACTCTGATTTTCAGTACCACATTGCTACTGCAATAAAAATCATACCAAAACTACAAACAAAAACTTCTGCTTTATTATTAAAAGAAAGTCAGAAAAAGTTGCAGTGTGCATTCTGTCTGTACTGACAGACCTCTGAAGAGTCAAAATTCTTGATTCCATCACCTGTTAATCATTTGCCAATTGCAGACAGAATAGTAAAATGCAGCTGCAAATTACTTCCTTGTTGGTAAAACCATTAAAAGAGTCCCAGCTTCACAGACCCCTCTCTGCACAGCTTTATAATACTCCTCTCCAGCAGGTCAATTGTTTCTTTCTTTATCTGAAGAAAACAAAAGTCAAAGAAAGCACCAAAAGTTACTGATAATGCTTTGGCTAAATACCATTATTTATTTACTCAGGCACCTTACTATAGGACTAGAAATCAAAGAAGAGCTTCCCATACAAGGTCCCGAGCTTTAGAATATTTCCATTTTGTAGAATATCTAGCATTTGCTCTGCAATCCTAAAGTACAGCTACAGCTTGTGAAGTCCCATCTAACATGGCTACAGAAAAGTTGTAATTGCTACGGAGTTGATAAAGCATGCCACAGCAAGAGGTCTCTATGGGACTTTCCAGAGTATCAACCTGTATCAAGTAGTCCGAGGGCAGCAGTGCACTGCAACAGTCACAACATTATCTGTGTCTGAGACACCTACATGAAAGTGAGCATGAAGGTCAGGTCTACATGTGCTGTGTGCAAAGTACTTTGGTTTATAACACGAATATGGTTGTAGCTTATTGCTTATCTAAAGATAAAATGACAAATGTATTCAAAAGTAAATATTGACTACATATTTCAGCAGGGACACAAGATTCTCTGTCATCACGGTTAGTCCAGAGTCTCCTTATAGCTTCCTCTTCCCACTTACCACGAATTTATTTGCAAGTTTTTTCTCAGGTTTATATCCTTCTGTGCCTCCACTTTGCACAGGAATAAATGATGTGATAAAGCCCAGCCAATCTCTATTCTACACTGGATGTGCCATGAGAGGGTGAAAACAGTTGTCTTTCTATCACAAGACCATTTCTTACAAAGCTTTGCATTTTCTTGAAGCCTGAAACTTAAACCTTCCGTATTTTCAAACTAACTCAAGGCTCAGTGTTCATATTGTTCGCAGACAATATAATATTGTTTTTCTGTTGAAAAAACTCCATTTGAATCTTATGAACAAGTAATTTGAGGAGTTGAGACAGCTCTGTATTGCCATCAACCTCTATACACAAAGTTTTCAAAGCAGGAAGCTTGTCCTTTGGTCAGATCAGAAAGCATACAATCAATGTTTATTTAAACCTTTATGCTTTAGTATAACTCCAGTGTATCAAGATAGAGTCTGATAAACTCATTCACCTGTCCTATGGCATGTTTGTGAGCTTCCTTTTTATTTCTTTCTCTGCACTGTTTGGGATGAATGAAGCAGGAGTCACAGAAACAGAAAAAAAAAAAGTCCAACAGCATTAACCAGTGAGATGCCAAGGCAACTGAGAGAGCAGTGGATCAGCACACCATCTATTATGTGGAAATGATGTGATACAGGACTGTCATGTGGGAAGATTAATGTGTTTTTAAATTAATATAATTATCAGAAAAAAAACACTATGTACATAATTCTCCACTGAACAACAGTGAGTACAAAAACAGCAAGTAGAATGGAAACATGCTTCCAGCTGTTCTTCCTTTCTGGCGTAATTACAATGAAATTTAGCAATGCAGCACCTTAAATATGCAAAGAAATTATTGACAACTGAGGTTTGCTCTAAAAAAAGGTCAGTATGCCTTGTTTCTAATTTTAAGGCTACAATTTTGCCTCCACAATAAATACAGGATAAAAGAAATCAGCACATCAAATTGCCAATTCTTAAATTATGCTTTTGAGACTATAATTCCTCTCTTCTTTGAGAAAACTTATGATTATTCATAGCATGTATTTGACAATTTTTATACAAGTAGAGGAGTAAGATCCTCTGCTCAATAAGACTGTATTCCATATTTCAAGTCTGCAAGTTGCCAAAACATTCCATTGGTTTCTACTGTGTTATCTGCAAAACATTATTTGGGTATCTTTTTTCAATGACATTCCTTATAACTAACTTTCAGGAATCTGCCTGGTATCTGCAGCAGGACAAATAGCTCCAAGATGCTCCCCTTACAAAGCTCAATATGTCAAAAACCTTTCTGTGTGCTGCGTTACCCGAGTCAAGTGCAGGTTTGAAGACTTTTCTGTAATCACATATTCACTATTCTGCAATCACACATAAATATCTATTCCTTATGCTAACACTATATATGAAGGTGTAACATTCTTTCTTACTTGGTTTTAACTTGAACTTAACCTTAACATTTGATTTTAAGATAGCCTTAAGATTTTGCCTTAATAAAATACATCTGGAGTCACAATTTTTGGCTTATATTCCTAGACAGACATGCAGAACTGCTGTGATGCTACCAACAAGTAGGTTAAAAGGGACAGTTCAGGTTTGCAATAGCCCAAAATCAAATATTAGCAACATAATCTTCAGGTTTTTGAGGAGGATTACTTATAGTCTACTGTATGTACATCTACTTCAGTTGACTTAAAAAATCCATCTGACTGCAAACAACACCTTTTGTACTGCTATGTCTGTGAATTCACGTTTTCCATTCTTTCAAAAATTTACAAGGTAATCACAAGCACCACACAAAAAACCCTTATGTATTTACCAGAAGAGGGAGCCTCCTTGCCTCAAAAAGCAAAGCTGGATTTTTTCTGGTAATTCACTTCAGCAACCTACTTTTTTGTGGGGCGCTTTATCTGAGATTATTAGGAACATGTATCTTTGTGTATGTGGGACTGTAAAATACAGCACATTCAAATACATAGACAAGTGAAGAGAAGGATTAATGACTGATCATTTGTTTCACTTGTGAAACAGTTTAATGTCTACATGCAAAATAGTCCTGTTTCCCTGGAGATTCTGCATACTGGCCCATTCTAAACATGCGAAAAAAAAAAAAAATTGAAACATTGTGCAGGAAATTGGGAGCTTTATGACAACCACTGATGGAGGAATCTGCCTCTTTCACTCTCTCTGGCTAAACATCAGCTGATGCCCCACAGCATATGGTAAACATGCCTTGTCACAGCAATAAATGTGAAAGCTGTATTACAGAATTGAAAAGAACGAGGAATTATCTTAAAAGGAGTCTACAAATGATGGATGCCTCTACATAGTTTGTACCCTCCCTTTTGCCAAAGAAAAAAAAAATTAAAAATGAGAACTCTGTAGATTTACTCACAAGAAGTTATCTTACTCTCAGATGGAGACAAATAAATGCTTCTCCGAAGTTTTATTTAGTTTTTGAGGGAACTTTTGCATAAACTCTTACTGAGAGAACTTTCTAGGAACAGGTAGAACAAACATCTAACATAAACAGAAGGCATTCACAGCACAACCAGAGAAGTCACAGCTGTGACTTGCAACAAAAAAGGAAAAAATCTTCCTGAGGAGGTAATTTTGAGACCTGAGTATACAGACTTACCAGTCAAATGTTGACTTCTTTGTGTTTCTAGACCACTGAAGCCAGCTTCTTACAGAAAGAAAACCTTACTGACCCAGATCTGGACACCAGAATCAGAAGTAATGAATACACAGAATGTAATATATACAGGTGCTCATACAATACCTCAGGGATATCCATCATTCGCCTTAGTTTCTGATCTCTCCAGTTCCAATCCAGAATAATATATTTTGTGGAGTTCAAGCACAGGCCATCTAAAAAGGCAACATAAATTTTACTACCACGATAATATGATGTGATTATCATAATGATTTTTGGCTTTTACATCTTTTGCTGTCTGTTTCCAAGGAAACTAATCTTTGAACACTTAAGTGCTACATTTGCTGGTTGGAAAACTAATGCACTGACACCACAAACTCCCTTAACCACATAATCCCATGCCTTTTTGGAAGATAAACACAAAAGCAGAACAACTACTGTTGCCAGGCTTGTCAGGAGCTAACATCCTGCCAGAAAATAATTCCTCAAGCTTCTTCTTGATGAAACCACAGGAGTTGAATTTCCACAGCTGATGAGGAGCTGGTAACTTACAAGGACCCTAGCCTGAAAGCTGTTGTTAATGGGAACTGACAGTGTTTACCAATTTACAGGACTGGGTGCTATGTGAATGTGAGTCAGGTCAGTGGAGCTGCTGAATAATTCCTTTATCCTCTAAATAAATTGTGGTGAAAGAAGAAAAAGGTCCTTTCTGAATTGGCCCTCCAGCTGTTCTCCTATTTTTCCTTGGTCTTCCACGTGATGCCCAGTATTTTTTGTAACAGTTTTGACTCTTCTCCATTTTCTAGTGACCTGGCACTGCAACAATAAGGTGTCAAAAAAAGACTAGACCTTAGGAAGATACACCTTGTGCCCCTGCCATAAGCTGCCTCAACCTATCATGGCAATGAGCTGACATGCTGAGCAGTAAAGATTTAATGTTGCTAGAGGGTATAGGAAGCAACAAAGTTGTGCTACTCCTGTACCCTTCTGGAAGGAGCAGTAGAGTCTCAATCCACAGACAGTCCCTGACCAAGAAACCACAGAGTAAGGCAGAGATTAGAAAGAGGAACAGAAAGAATCACCATTTTGTTGTTTGTTTGTTTGTCTCTTGAGTAAGCACTCAAAATTTGGGAAGAGAAAAAAAGATTTATATAGAATAATTAATTTCATTACAGGTAAATCAGGAAGAAAATCAAATCAGCAAGAAGGTCTTTTGTCCACCCCTTGCAGAAGTTTACACTGAGCTCAGAGTGACATATGATACAATGACTTCTGTCAGTATTTCCTTTTGATTTACTTGCAGTGTTTGGTTTCCTGGAGCTTTAAATCTTACACCACGGGTTTGCAATCACTTTCAAGTCAGCATAAATCAGTATTCCTGCCAAAAGAGGAAGCCCCCCACCTCCGCCTGCTCACTACCTGACTTTGTGTGCATACTGGTTTTGTTTTAATTGGGATCAGTTCTAACTGGGATCAGTTCACTGAGCTGCCAAACAGACTCTTGGGCTAGCACAAGAAGCAAGAAGGGGGAATAAGTGGGCACTGACTGGGGAGGGAAAGTATTGCTCCGCTTTTCTCTGGTAATAGTGATTTATGGCAGTTTAAAATGATCATAAAATCAACTACTAGAATCTTGACCTCGTTTTGACTGACATAGTAGAAGTGGAGAAATAGAACTGTACAGTTTAGTACCCAAATCCACAGATTCATGTCAATCTAAGTGTTTCAAAAACAATTCAAGTCTTGCTTCTCATGAAACTAAGTGTAAGATACCTGTGGAGAAAACCTTTCTTATTCTCCTACCTTGCTCCACTAGCGCTTTTACTCTCCCAGGAGTTCCAACCCCAACGTGGAACACGCCTTTCTCCAACATATTCATTTGCTCTTTTATCTAATTTGAAGAGGGAAGGAAAAACCACAGTAAAAACACAATTATTTTAAAATTTCTTCTCAAAGAGCTGGAAATAAATTCAAGATCTCATCGTATCTCTTTCTAGAAAATGCTATTCATTTTTCAAACTTTCAAACGGATATATCTGGGAGAAAGTTTAACAAATGTAACAGCCAGCTGGGCATCATACTTCTCTAGAAGTTCAGTCATTTTCAACTTTGAAAATCTGTTATTGCACCAACTATTTTTGGAGGTGAGAACAGTATGCTTCCTTCAGCATTTAAACAAATTCCTTGGAAATATCTGGAAATCTGACAGTTGAATTAGCTCCAAAATCCTTCAAGATTAAGACACTGGAAAAGGGTGAAATAAAGCAAGTGACATTTGTGTGTTTGACAGCATTTATATCAAAGGCCAAATGTCAGTTCATTACTTCCAACATCCCCGTAATTTGTGCTCTCCAACAGGAATGGATATTGGGCATCCAGGCATCCAACTGTCAGAATGCAAATGTGGGTGCTGGTACAGTTTGCTTCTACAAATCTACGTGTGAGCCTTCTATTTAAACAGGCTAAAGCCATTTGAATGAGCACCTCAGAAGAATGTGGAACATCTTTAAAACACAGCACATCAATAAGCATCTACATAAGCTATTGAAGATGGTGTTTGGCTAGATTCCTCAAACTGCAACAATGGGTTACCAAAGAAATCATTAGCTAAAGGAAAGAACATATGAACTATACGAAAGGCAATATTGCTAAATGCTTTAAAAAGAAAACAGTACGACACTGGTTAGTTGTTTAGTTGTTCTATTAAAATTCCCTTGCAGCTCTCTTACCTTTATGTGCTTTGCAAACAGCTTGAGAACTTTGCAGTCTCCTTTAAATGCTGTCATTGACCTAGCAATAGAAAAATTGAAAAAGGAAATGCAAGCATCAGGGCTGGGATTAAGACCACACAGGAGGAAAGCAAAACTAGCTGGCATTTCTCAATATGCTTGAGACACGCAGTCCCCCAGTGACCTGGCTTGTACTTTGAACACTATGTACATTCTTTGCTATTTGATCAACAGTGATCAACAACTGGACAAACACAATAGAAGATATCAGTAGGGGGCAATATTGTTTAGATAGCTTTTCAGATAATATTTAATAATTATGGCCTGTGCTTTCACAGCTAACTTAGTTCAAAACTGACTAATCATCAAATTCTAATTAAAAAAATTATCTCAGTTACTGAGATAGAGGCATGAATAAACATGCACGTGCATGTACAGAAAGAAAGATCCGTGCATGGACCAATCTACATTTTACAGTCTTCCTGCGGCATGGCTCCTGGGAAAACCTAGGCTGCCACAGTCTTTACTGCAGACATTGCCCAAATTCCAGTTAACCAAAACTCATTTGTTGGAAAACCTGACTTGTTTTTCTGACACTCTATTTTGGCACACAGTAACGACTCTATGTTCTGTATTAATCAAGCAGGAGACAGCATATTCAGTATTTACTGAATGTCATTTAAGACAGCTTTCTCTGCATTTTTTTTGCAGTGTGCCAGATTTTCAGTTTTCTCTTCTGCAAAGCTAAAGGTTTATACACAAGCATCCACATAAACCACCTAAGTCTCGGATGGTACTACCTGCATGCAGGGGCTAAGCACCACTGGCACATCTGCCGTTTCTATGCTTCTATCTGTAGCATGGAGTCAAACTTCCCAACTCAACATTTCATGTTGTACTGACAGATAATCACAGGAAACAGGGTCGAGACACAAAAGACAACCAAGAAATTTGTGAGGTATACATTAATTCATCAAAGTCATTAAGACTTCTGGAATGAGAAGGGGGAAGATAGAGAAGGGAAAAAAAGAGGACAGGGAACACTGAAAATCATCACCTCTGCACAACAGTTTCGCCAGCCTGAGCCAGCTGAGAACACGGACACAGACCTAGAGGCACTCAGACCAGACACACACATTGGCACTTGAGGCCCTGGAATGCCATGTCCTCATTGCTTTAGGTGCAAAGTCACGATTTCTAGTGGTGGGTCATGATGCTTTATGCGTTTACTCTGCTCCCAAGTATAACATGTTGCATGTTTCCACCAAAATGGTACACTTTATTTTTGTTTTTTAACAAAAATAGCACTTTCATGCAACTGAAGTACTGTTACTTCAGTCTAAAACCAAACACCACACCTCCACATTTTAAAGAAGCAAGGGATATTGCATCATTTTGAATCAGTGAATTTGTTGGCTAGCAGAGGACAGTGTCCCAGTTTTGCCTTTATGTCTGTGGTTCCAAGACAAAACCTCTGACTGACTGCCAACCTCAACATAAAATTTGCTATTGACATACTTGATGAGTTCCAAGGAACGAAGTGCAGAACTGCAGATAACCAGCATCACCACTGACTTCTTCTCCTTGTGGTTTTTACGGAGTTTTGCCCACTTAGGACAGACTGTAATGAAAAAGCCCGTGTACACACACAGAGAAAGTACTACATGCCACAATTTTAAATTACAAGATTACATGATGAACGGTAGCCAGCAGCAAGAACACACATGCTGACTCCTACGAGGTCTGGATCTTTGGCAACACTTTTACATTTAGTCATGGCTGAGAAACTGGAAAATAAAATGCCCAAAATAAATAAAATACAGAAATATCACATAACTGAACAAATTAGATAAGCATTAAAAATCAACAGCTTGTAAGGTGAGAAGTCCAATGTCCTCATTTGCCACATAGGGTAAATTGTATCAGAGAAAACCAATTGGAAAGATACATTTACTGGATGAGAAATTTTTCATAAATATATATGAGAGAATAAAAATTCTCAGTTCACGTCAAGAGATAGCTGCAGGATTTTTACTATAATACACACACCTACTTATGAAGCCACAATAAATTACCGACAAATAATCCCTAGCAATTAAAAGAAACTCTAAAGCATTTTGATACAAAAAAGTTACACAGTAAAAAAGAGCCAGAAAAACAAGACCTGTAATGAAAAATGAAAACCCCTTAAAGTTATTAATACTTCATAATTAAAAATATTTGGAGGTGCAATAATACTGCATTAACAATGTTTGTCATACAACTTTCATCTCATCCAACATTTTTACTCACTTTCCTTCAGGTATGAAGAAAAACTGTGGGTAAGATCATTGTATGGCAAAAAACAGGAATCTGGAAAGGAAAAAATATTTTTGTTGATGTATTTTTAACCGTAAAAGGAGCATATATGCTTGCAACATAACCACTAGTTCTATCGATGAAATCACAACTGTGTTAAAATCCGTCATCAATAAATTACCATTTATGAAACAAAGATTAATGTACGATGTATATTACGTGTACCAGAAGCTTTATATTGGATAAATCAAGGAAAATAACATCTCTCAACTTAGTTGCAATTTCTTTCTTTTCTCCCACCATGAAAATCCCTGACTACTGGGGCTGTGCAGGTGTGATCACGTACTTCAAAAAAGTTTCATATGTCTTTGCCACAATCAATCGAGGGTCTTAGCCAAAAGCCTTGCAGTCAACCTGTTAAGACTGTTCCTCCAATCTACCTACGATGAAATACATTTGTAGATCACCCAAACAATTCATACTGTTTAAATACAAGAACCTACCAATAACGTACCTGTCAATAAGTTTGTTCCTCTTTCTGGCCTTTCATATTGTGGTAATCTACATAACTACATCAATCCTAATGGTAGTGCATTTCAATGCCTTCCTCTTCCTTTATTTCCCACTGCCTCCCTATCTTTTACTTGGTCACTATGTTAACTAGTAAGTCTTAAAAGCACTCTGTGGCAGACATACCAATTAACTTTAAGTTTCATACAGAGGCAATAAAGAAAGAAAAGGTCCTAACAGGTTCTTTGGAAGGCCCAACCTTTCTCCAGTGTCTATACAGAAAGTCTAAATTCTTAAAGTGGTGATTAAAATTAGATGGTCTGAAAACTTGCCATTGTTAAGGGTACTTTGCCTGATGGCACAATACGCTCCTGCAGAGCATTAACTACTCTGTCTTCAGGGATTCACATATTTGTTATCATTCTGCATGAAGCATAGCACCTCAGGGTTCCCGTCTATGGAATGAGATATTTGCCCATATATTTTAACTAAATTAAGGAGGTTTCCCTGCAGACACTATTCATGTTCCCATAGTTGGCACATTGTGCTAATGCTGGCAGTCTCAATCCATGATTTCCACTGGATCTGGCAGTGTGACAAACTTGGTGTGTAGCTGATGCCTGGCTGAAGTCCTGCCTGTGTAGTTTCTTTAGCATAGCCACTCTCCCTCACTGTATGTTCCATTTAATGGGTGTTGTCTTGCTAAAAACTTTTATTTTGCACTGATCCCTTTTATTAAATCCAGAGATTGATATTTACTGGGACTTGAGCTCCAAAGGGAATGAATGTGTTCAACTGAAGTATCAACAGCTAACTTTAAAAATCATGTTTAAAAGATGCACTTGACACTAGTGGTGAAGGACAGAGGCTGCCCTTCCATAAGCATTTGATGCTAATAGAAGAGCTCTTCACACCCACCTTGATCCTTTCCTCCCAGTGGCAAAATATCTTTGCTGCTGTTTTGCTCTTCTGAGTACATTAAATATCACTACTGACTGAACAATTCAAAAGATGGTTTTTAAAGGGCACAAGCTTCAGTCACTGACCTTTCACCAGTACTCCAGCAACACTGGAGTATTAACAACAATGTAAAATGAAAGTTTCAGAAAGGTAGGGAAAAAACACATAGCTCCAGACTACAGCAAGTGACCATGCTGACTACAAACCTGACCTTCTGGGCCGTGTCAGTTAACAAGAACACACAACTCCAAGTAGTTGCTTGTTATTTGCTCAGTGCTTTGACAAGAATGACTTGACAGCTGTAGAAGTTCGTCAACTCCTTGGCACTCTAAGCCTCCAACTCCCAGCACAAAAAGAAAGAAAAAATATCTCTATCCAACCCAAGAGCCAATCCATATGGAAAGAGGCCACTTCACTAGCCCCAAAGGCTCTGTTAATAAGAAAGAAACCAAAGCAATTTATTATTTGCTAAAATCCGTAAGGGTCTAAGCATATTTAACATAAGCTTTTCAAAGCAATCTATACAGGTCTTCTCCAGGTTTTCTTGATTCAAGAAGAAAGCTGAACTTGCTCCACAGAAATAAAGATGGGGATGTTAAGGAGGTGCATATTTATCTAGAAAGACAGGCTTAAACATTAAAATAGAAACCACTGCTGGGCTAGAAGGCTCGTCCATTGGGTCCAAGTTACTAAGAATTCAAGAAGCATCTAAGCTGTATGCAGGTTAGTTACTAGGCCGTTTGCTCTTCACGAGTACTACCAACAAATAGTGAACAGTGCCTATACGATGAAAGTGCCTCTTTATCTGCAGAATAAGAGGGAGAGAAGTTCAATGTTGCCTTCATCTCTAATGCAACCTCCCACTGACAGAATCTAACCCTGCTCTGTCCTGCTTTGCCTTTTCTATCACCGGCTTTTAACTGGAGACAGAATACAGGAAACCAAGAGGGTCCTCATCATGGTTAAAACTTGGTCACTTTACACTTGGACCAAAACTACCATCTAATTTTATGCCACTCCGTGAAAAAAACCCATTGTGTTCAACATCTCATAACCATGACAGAATGATGTCTCATTATTTCTTCGTCTACTCCTGTCAGCCCTGCTATTATACATCTGGATCGACTCAGATAATCCCAGAAACAAAATACATCTTTCACTTTATCAGTCAGCATATTGGAAGCTACTATTAGGAATCACATAATCTCTATTAGAAAAGCGAGCTCCTGAAATTTATACTTTACAATAAAAGGACACATTTAAACAATGTTTATTTTCATTTCTGTAAATCCAAGAAATGTCACATTTATTCAAAAAAACCTAACATCTCTACTTAAACAGCAGATCAATATACCGTATAATAAAATATTTCACAAAAAAGTACAACTCAAAACCTGTACCAAAAATACTCCTTCTTTTGCAGAAAAAGTACGGAAAAAGCATTCTTCATCTATTAAACATAGAAGTTACCTGGCAGCTTTAATTCTTCTATTTCAATCACTGAACGGTTTTCACCAAAATGTTGACTAAGTAGATTTTGCAGATCTGCAGGGACAGCAGGTTTTGGAGTGGATTTTTCCAGAATATCAGAAATTTTCTTCTAAAAAACAAAGTAAAATGGGTAGGCATGACATTTCTATAATTTCTGCTCTTTGGCTAGCTAGCAACACTGTAAATAAATGTTTGTCCATAAATGTATACAGTTATATTGTCTTAATTACAGCTTAATTAGAAAAACACCTTACAATGGGACAAAATTCCCATCATCTTTAGTGGGAATGCAGACTTCAAATGCAAGTTCAGATACTTTGATGAGATGGTCTGTGAGCCTAGAGACAAAAAATCTTGTGCACTCACCTGAAATACTGCCATAACAAAAACATAACTGAAAGCTGCTTTAGTGAGTTCTGCTGTTGGTACACGTAAGTATCAGTTGAAAATTCAGGTTTTTTTCATAATTTGTTTTAATTTATTATTCTTAAAGTATAACAACAGGAAACAAGTGGTTATATAAGTCTTGGTTATATTTTGATTAAACCAAGGTAACTATCTATCTATTTTGGAAGGAAAGACAGTTAGCTGTATTCATAGAATACCACGCAAGTGTGATGAAGATGAGTTAAAAGTTCACAAAACCACAGGTCAAGCAGAAAGAGTTCAGCAGCTGTGCTGTTCTTCCAAAAATGGATAATTTTTTAAGCCAACTAATAATTTTTAGAGCCTGGCCCGTTTTACACCTCAGGAACATTAGCAAATAACAGGTATGAATTTTCACTGAAGCGAAAGCTCTATTTTTCCACATAATTAAATGGATCACGTGGACGAAGAGTTCAGGGTTCCCATTGTCTGAATGATCTGCCAGCATTTAAGAAAACAGCAGATTCAAGGACAGAGGTAGCATGGAGAGAAAGCACGAATGCGAAGCCTCTCCTCTCACTGAGAAGTGATTCATTTGTGAACGGCCAGCTCAAAGTTTCTCAACTGTGTAAGCTAAACCGATCTTGCCATCATGAGGACACATGGCAGCATGAGCCTAGAAACAAAAAGGAGCAGCAGAGTGTGGTTAGGACAGAGCAATACGGTACATATCTGCAAGGGAAAGTGAGATTTCACAGAGATGAAGAGGGCCTGGAAGCATTTTCAGCAGCTTTGGGGGGGTGGTGGGTACCTTCAGTGCATTTTATCACAGTAAGGTCTGGGCCAACAAAGATCAATGGAAATTTTGAAGAGAGCTATAGCAGGAATTATAACGTAGGGGACAGATCTTCTTCCATCCCTCTTTCACCCACTCCATCCCAGTACCCACTCCCTCCTTCTCTTCCGCTCCCCACCCCTCCGTCTTCCCCTCTTGCCCAATACACCCCAAATACTCCTGTAATGGCAGCATAAGGTGCAGGAGTCTGAGCAAGGAAGAGCCATACGGGGGGTGCTGAAGCCACTCTACCCCACAGCAAAGGTAAAGTAGGCAGCTGCCTCTCCCAGCCATCTGCCACTTTGGCCACTGTCTGTCCTACCTCTGCTAAAAGCCTGCTGTGTGCTTGCAAGACCCTAGCTAAATTTTTGACAGTGGGATACAAGGAGATGAAGTGCTTATGCCTTCCTCTTGGCCTGGTGCAAAGCCCTCTGCAGTCCCTGGAAGACTTTGCAGTGGATGTATGGCTGTTCACCAGGTTTTTGCAGTGCCTGCATCTGTAGCATTCCTTCCCAAGTTTCACCTTCACTTGGCATGGTTGTAATTTTCTGCCATTCAACCACTCTTCCCAAAGAATGACCAGAGGCCATCTACAGTGCACACAGCCTTTGTGCGAGGCCCACAACCAAACATCTTCATTGTTCTTCCTGTCAACCACAAATGGTCTTCTACATCCTCAGCCCCACAACCTGCCTCTCAAGTGACCCACATTTGGGAACCTCTGATTTAGCAGACAGCAAGATAGAACTATCTGGCTCATTTTACTTGGTAATCCAGTGTAAGGCGCTGTTACACAGCACCATTACGTCATTCATTGGGCCACTTGGTTCCTTCAGGAAAATTATGGCACTCTGGAGGGGAGAAGCCTGATACTAATGAGACATTCCATGAGAACAAGAGCAAGGACACCTGAGCAAATCCTTCAAGGACGGCTGTGGGGAAATGTTGCTCATGCAGGAAGTTTTATCATTTTTCTTCCAATTCATTCCAGATGCTTAAAAGCAAAGGATTTTTTTCCCCCTTTTCCTTATTTTTGGAGAGAGCACTTTGTTTGTAACCCACAGATCAACAGGACAAATATTTCCTGATGGATTTTTTGACAGGCTGTGTATGTCAGCTTAGTGGCCTAGCCCCACTGAAACCAAAGGTACAACTAAGTGTCTATTGTTTGCCTGAGAATGGGGTCTTTTTGTTAGGCCTGGTTCACCAGTCTCTGTCGTGGGATGCTTTCACTCTGGCAGCAGTGGAACAAGTACTGCGGTCACTTCTGCCAGAACTATATTTAAAGCTAAATCCCACTCTTCCCTTTTCCCATTCCCTTGATGATTAAGAAGCCTGACACAATATAAAAAGGCCACCTTTCAGCCTTATGAGTGAGCCAACTATTTACAAGTCTGTCCTGAAAGACAATTAACTTGCCTGGTGCCATATAATTTCCATCTAGACTGCAGAGTGTGTTTGTTGTTGAGGGTGAGGATGGAGCATGGCCAGAGGGACAATACAGAGTATTTATTTACACACTTATGCTATGAGGAGAAGACTGAACAAGGACAGCTCTTGGCTCAAAAGATGTAACAGCAGCTGGAGCCTGACCACACTGCTGAAATGAGGCTCTGCAGCAACTGAAATTCCACCTTTCTTTGATGCAGTTACATTTCACCAGTGTGCAACACTTGCAAGTGGGGTGTGGACATACACAACCCTTGAGCGGAGTATAGACACAATACATAGTTCAGGTTGGGAACGGGTACTTTGAGTGAAGTCAAAAAAAGTAGGAATTTATGTTCTTCTCTGAAAGAGACTGCAACATTATGACCATATTACTTTTCATCATCACAGGGCTGTCCCAGTTCTGAACCTTGTAATAGCATGTACTCGCACTACCCAGTCCCCAGACACATTCTAGGACATTCATACCTTCTTTCTCCTCTTTGCCTTTACGGTGCTCTCTTGTTTTTCTTCAGGTTGACTTAGAAAACACTCCGTAGGCTGCAAAGCACATATATAAAAAAAAAGAAAAGGTAAGAAAAAAAGATTCAACATCAGATATCTGACCACCTGAGGGGGGAAAAAAAAGTCACCAAAGGGAGGTAAGAGGGAGATAAAGTATAATGCTATGTTAGGGAAAACCAAACAAAACCAATCTTTACAACCTGTAGAAGGGACAAAATTCTTATAGTTACATAAATCTGGAGTAATTTTGGAATTGAGATCTACGTTGTAACCAAGAGGGGGATAAACAAACAGAAAGTTGAAACATACAGGTTGTAATCGCAATTCCATAAAATGGTCAAAAGCAGGTCTTGAGACATTAAAAAAATCAAAAGGAAAACATGAACAAAACTTTCACAAACTTTGTATTTTTCACCTCTATTATCCTGTGTGATGGTTTTTCTAAACTTTGCCAATAGCGCTCTAAAATAACTGGGTCTAAGGTGAGCATCCAGATGGTGAAAGATACCATGGAACTGGGTGAGAGTAACTGGAAACAATCACGCCTGGATTTCCTTTTACATTTGTAATGCAAAATTTAGGAAAGCATGTTTCACATTTGTTCTGCCCCATTCTTGCTTTGTCTCCACATAGCAGGCAGGGTCAAATGCACACCAGAAAAATAACATGGTGCATTTCAGAATAATCTTCATCGAACATATGTTGCTATTATTAGCCCTCTTTTGAGCAGTCTGAATTGGTCCCTTTGTGCCAGAGTCCCTGTTCACATAAGCCAGGGTTAGGATTTGTCCTCAGCTACCTAAAATTGTCCAAAACAGAAGCAGTAAGGCACAGACTTCTGTGTTTTGAGCATAGCAATTCTCTTTTCTTTTGCCTTCTTAGGGACTTTTACTTCATGGAAATGCAAAATAATCTACATAGACAGGCTTTAGAGCTTAATAAGTGACTTGATGAAGAGCAACAGTAAAATAAGCTGAGTTGCAGGAAGAAGCTCCTTGATCCTAAGACGCATTTGGAAAAATCTGCTCCTGTGAGAAACTACAGAGAAGTCTCATCACATGGAGCATTAAAAGCTCAGGAACAGCAAATCCAGCGCCACTCACTGGGGAAGCCTGGAAGAAATGTATCAGCAGGAGGAGCCCAGCTGAAAGCCAGAGAAGCTGCTCCTGTGTACCCTTGTGAGGGCAGCTTCAACAGGGCTAGGAGGTCCAAAGGAAAGCTAACAGAAGTTCAAAGCATCTGAGCCTTTCTGAGCCCTCCTTGCACTGCCCTCCCCTTCACAGGAGGACACTTCCTAACTGGTACTATATGACCCTGCCCAGCACATTTGTGCCTTTCCAAGCCCACTCTCATATCCTTTTCAGAAGCATTTTGTGGAGTTAATTGTTCATATGATGCCTACATTTCCCTTTTTGTTAGGCCATGTTCAACACAAACAAACGACCTGTTGCTTGCTCCTGCTTTCTATGCCATGATGCAATCACAGCCGTTGCAACTGCAAAGGCAGTAGAACTGTAGAGAAGTGGCCCTGAAACTGGTTGAGGTTTGAAATGATATTTAGGAACTACCAGAGAAGGTGTCGGTGGGCACTGGCTACAGCCAGCAAAGCACTCTACAACTGGGGCTGGAATATAACACAGCCTGGATCAATACTCACCCATGAGAAGCGGTGATAGGGTCTGTTTCTTGCCTCAACAACAGAGATCTGTCCCTCTGATTCCCTCAGGTATAAACAGACACTATCTTCACTAGAAATCAAGGGAATGACTGCTAGTAGAAACTCACTGCAGCTCACACAACTGTTCCAGGGTTAACACAAGCTTTTTGTTTTTATTCTTGGTTTGTTTCTTTTTTTTAAAAATTTCTGCCCTGACTCTGATTCAAGTGCTTTTAAAACCCCACCATACATTTTTCATTCCTATCCCTACCATTAGCATTCCCAGACATTGAGACTGAAACAGAGCTACCCTCTGCCTTCAGTTCCTGCTCTACCCTTACACATCCCAGCTGTCCATAGACTATTTGCCAGGTGTTTTAATCATAAATTCCATGTCCAACATCACATTTTATGCAGAGAACAAGCCTTTGTATCGATTCAGTCAAGGGACACCACCAATCTGTCAAAAAGCCAGAAAGGGGCCAACCTGAAACTCCTTCCTCCAGTGGAATATGATGGTTCCCTATCCTAGAAAGCGTTACTGCTCTTTCAGCATATCGAAAAATGCCACTCATTCACTTTGTGCCCATTTCTTCCTTCACACATATGGTGAACTGTTTTACACACATCTGAAAAACAGTCCCAACTGGTACCTGCATGAGAAAAGAATAAAACCATGACACAGAGCTAACAAATTTTCTCTAAGAGAAACAAAATCTTCTCACTGATAACCATTCATTCAGATTTTTAAAAGTATCACCAAATGCCGTGGCTTCTTTTTTGAAGGCAGTATGTAACCCCTTCTTTCAGCAGCAACAAAAATACACTGCAGGCTTGTAGTCAAAGACTTGCTTCCTCAGAGAAGCATGTTAAGACTCAAAATTATCTCCTTTACAAAAGTGTATATATATATTTAGGCAGTGTATACTATTAACCCAGCAATAACAAGGCCGCTTTATTCAGACAGTAAAAATAATGCCATAAGAAAAAGAGAAACTTCATGGTGATGAATGGCTGTAAACTTGCACATCTTTGATGATCTGCAGTTTAAAATATTTAGGCATCTGATCTAGACTGAACTTCTGACCCTTCTGCCAATGTTAGTTGCCTACCTACGCATGCAATAGCTCTCATGCCACCCTCAAGAAAAGGTCATTTGCATGTTTTTCTAACGCAAGACACGGAGCAGACAGCCTACTGGGTTTTGACATGGCTCCCCTGCGCTCTGTATTTTTATGCTATTTTTACATGGAAGTTCTTAAAATGCAGAAAACAGGAAATTTGTGCTGAGACCACTGATTTATGAACTAAAATGTCATAAATTCCTTGTTTGTTAATCATAGACAGAACATAAAATATTTCCTGTATTATATTTCTAACTTTTTTTTTTTCTTTACATGTTGCCAAGTTACTGGAAATTCAAATGTAGAGTGAAAACATTCTTGTGTGTCTGTGAAAGTTTACATTCTAGGTCAGCCATATACTCTGACTTTTGGAGTCTGTGACAAAGTAAACACATCAATGCACCATTCAGACTGGAGAGAAATTATTCATCTCATTGTAAGCCTGAGGACAGCCTGCAGACTAGAAACATAAATGTTCATAATCTATTTGATTGTCTCCTGACTGGCTTTATGGTGCCAACTACACTGCAGAATAGCTTCCAGCCTGTGAATAAGGCAGGGATGAGTAAAATAGGTTATGTTATATGCACCAGAACTACAAAACTACTAGCTCTCCATAAATATATCTGATTTTGCAAGTGTTTTGCTCTAAAAGATATGCAATAACATATTCATGACTTTGAACTCCTGTAAAGCATTGTCTCCTGCAGTTTTGCGGCTAAACATAAAACTACCCTATTCCAAAATGCAAACTGATGTTCTTTATATGACAGGAAGAGTTGTGGCAGGTGTTCTGCAACAGCTGAGCAGTCCCAGTCCACCTTGACAGGACAACCTCTGTTGGTTATCGTTTCTAATGTTCTCACAGAAAGAGCAAAGCAACTTCTCCAAACAAACTGTCTTAACCTAGTTCTAAACTTAAGTGAAGATAAAAAGTGATAGAAAGTGGCTCCACCCTCACTGAGGTGAAGTCCTCAGCATCTGACCTCTTGGTGGAGCGTGTACAAAGGCAATACAGCTGCCTCCCGTATTGCTCGGTTCTCTCTTTCCTAATCAAAACGTAGAACCAGTTCAGATATTTGGCTCACTTCACCTTTGGTCTCCTTGGAAAGACACCCCAAGACATAGTAATTGCTACTGTGTTGTTTACACTTCTCTGTTACAAAAAAAGAACATCCCTGCATATGCTTTTCACTTGGGCAATGGCCTAGGCATCACAGAGTGAATTTACTATTGACCTAGGAGTCAAAATTAATATCCATAACGTCAAGGAGAGATGGCTTCCAATGTCAGCCATTCAGTTGATTCTCCTGTATGGCATCAGGAAGACAGAATAAATTTATCTTCAAACAAGAGACTTCTTAAAATCAGCTGTCCTCTAGATGACTCTTTTTTGTCCAAGTTGGGGTGATGCTTGCTGTCTGTCAAAGACCTTGCTGCCTTTTCCTTGGCATACTCCATGTAATGCTGAACAACACAGTTCCTACTGGTTTTAAACAAAACTTTTAGTAGTGCAAGGCTATGAAAACATCAATCCATGTAGACTTAAATTCTTCACTTGGACCTTGCACTGGAGACATGCTGGGGTAGAGGTGCTGTACACCATTTAAATACAGCTTTCAAGACCTTTTCACAGAATCACAGAATGTTAGAGATTGGAAGGGACCTCGAAAGATCATCTAGTCCAATCCCCCTGCCGGAGCAGGACACCTAGGTCAGATCACACAGGAACGCATCCAGGCGGGCTTTGAATGTCTCCAGAGAAGGAGACTCCACAACCTCTCTGGGCAGCCTGTTCCAGTGCTCTGTCACCCTCACCGTGAAGAAGTTTTTTCTCATATTCAAGTGGAACCTCCTATGTTCCAGCTTGAACCCACTGCCCCTTGTCCTGTCACTGGATGTCACAGTGACATTTTGTATGCAGGGAATGGGAAAAGGTGAGAGGGAAGGACACCCGGTAGCATCATCCACGCTTTTGTCACTAGACAGTCACTTTGTAGGAGACAGGCTTGGGAATCTCAGCTCACAAAAAACAAGAGTGAAGTTATTGAAATGTACTGGAATGTGATCACTTCCAAATGTGGTAAAATAATGTAATAAAAACATCTTACTACAGGAATAGATCAGACAAAGAGCGAATAAAACTGTCACTTTACTGAACAAAAGGG